CGAATAACTAAAAAATTACACACTAATTATGCACATCATTATATATAATCTTACAAAATTTCTATACGAAAAGAAAAAAAAAAATCATCGAAATCGTACAATTTTTAGCGAAGATGCAGCTTATTGAAATTTGTAAACATGTTAGTTCCAAACATTAATGAAGTTTTAAATTAATATTTGTTTCCTTTGTCGATTTATCGATAAAGTAACAATTGATTTCTTTATCTTGTGATACGTTGCATTATTTTATTTTCTTATTAATTTGGCATTTGATCACTTAACAATATGCTGTTCTAATTTTTCGCAGGAGCCTTCTAGTTTATTTTAATTTCACTTAGTTTCTATCCATTATTTTATTTTCTGTACATATGTATATTAATTTTTCTTATTTTTTTTACTTGATTTCTTTTCTATATTTTAGTTATTTTTTTTGTATTTCCCTTTTGTATGTACATATTGTGAGAATGATTATTGTATCCCTAATATTAATGCCCTTTAATGTGGCAGAATGTATTAATTTTCAATAAAATAAAAAATAGCTTAATGACAAAGGTGTTTAATCCAAATATGACGTCATTATCGGGAGATAAAATCCGCCTCATTTAATCTACGTCCTCTAAACACCTGTTTAACCAATCGATCGCAATCCTGACAGGGAAAAAATAACTGATTGAGAAGTTGCCTAAAGAAGCTGTTATTAATACGGAGCAGTGAATCCTCCCCGACTACGGACGGACGTGGACGAGTGCTCACGTAGCTGCGGGCACGTAGGAGCTGCACCTCATCTAAATGACTACCAGCTTCCTAACAGCTCTTCTCATTCACAACATTTAGTCTTACCCTCTTACTGACTAATCGGATAATTTATGTTTACACTCCGCAGGATCATAAAGAATGTATATCTATTTCGAAACATTTAAATTCTTTTGTAACGTAACTATGCTAACGTGTCAGACTAAATCGCCCCATTTGAACTATAAGATAAGAAACAGATATATTCTGTTCTTTATTATTCTTAATGGTGGTGTCTTGAGGTATTCATTTTTATAAATTAAGGTCACTAACGTTTTATTTTATCTTGACAGCGTTGCGGACAACACTAGGTCCATTTTCAAGCTCTCCAAATAAATATACATTTTCCTCAATCAAATCAAATTTTCCTAATATTTTGCGGTTTCCTCTTCGTCATCAATGGAACAACTGAAGGTAAATATATTTTTTTTATCATTGATAGTTGTTATCTGAATTGAAGTGGCCACGTTTCTTTATTTAATTGACTATACATTTTTGCGACGAAAATATTTCTTAGATGTATTCCTTTTCCGAATCTTTAAAAAAAAATTTCTTATCATGTTGATTGGTTTACTTCTTCTAACCTCAGTTCGTTATTCAAACACGAGATCACAAACCTGTAGATCCCTTCTCTCAAAACTGTTTCCTTTGAAAAATCCAATGTAATGCATGCTATCTTGTTTTGGAATTCCTTACCCTCCCCCGCACGCAAAACCTCTTCTTTAACCTCATTTCTTTTTTTTTTTTTTTTTAGAACTTCTAAAACTAGATAAACTGTTTTATTGATATCTTGTAGATTCATAATTGGTAATTGGTTGACTGTCGTGGATAATGAAGAGAAGAACAGTTGGAGTGGTCAGTCAAAAAGGAAGGCAAAAATAAATGATAATATTTATTTTTTACATATGCCATATAGACATATTATAATAAATATTATCATTTATTTTTGCCTTCCTTTTTGACTGACCACCCCAACTATTCTTCTCTTCGATATCTTGTAGAGTTCGTTGTGTTCCCGAGAATATTTTCTGTTGGCAGAATATGCATTTTTTACTGTGTTTTTTTTTAAATAGTTCAATTGAAAAAAATAGATTTAACCGATGTCCTGAGTTTTCCTTTACTCATCCCACTGTGCGCATCCCACTCCACCGCATAACAAGTTATAATATCAGGCTGAGTGGAAAGACAACAGCGGTAGATATTGAGCACTTGTGAAGGAGAATTCCTATTCTAATATGCTTAAATCATTATCACTTCCGTCATTATCAATAAATTATCAGCCACTATCATTCCAATCTTAGGTGATTACAGGAATGACTCGAATCAGGAAGAAACTAGACAAGGGAATTAAGCGGGTTAAAGTCTCTGATCCAAACCAATATGAATTAACCATATTAAGATATGTGGTGGTATAATTAAATTTATTAATGTAAGGTTTTACAATGGAGCAAGGAAATATTTTATTAAAAGGTAAATATTATCTGTGATCTCGGTCAAATCACCTCCTTGTACAACCGTTGACCTAGAAACAGTGCTTTCCCTAAACAGTACTGAACCCAAGACCCTTCATGGGTTATAGTGGCGCAGATTGTTTTTTTTTTTTTTAATATTATCTAATATATTTATTAAAATTTAATAATGTTTTTATGGATTCGAACCTCGGCCACGAAGAATGATTCTTTGAAGGCACCCTTCAATTTTTTTTTTACTAAATTTTTACATAGAGAAATAAAGTTTAAAATCGTTTAGTTTTAATATCAAAGCTCAGACACGTGAATCATGACATTTCCTTTAATATGGTCGACCAATTAGCAATTTTGGGCGGATCACATTTTTATTTCTGTTAATAACACCTATTCGGTATAAGACGGCTCATTAAAGTGAAGATAACTACGATTTAGTCGGTTTATAGCCGAAATGTCTTGGCAGAAATGACTTCAGGCTAAAATAATTGCGCCTTCGTGGGAAACCGTGACCTTTAATTTAATTTGGGAATGTTATATAGGCTCCCAATGGCTAGTCCAACTCAAGACCCAACGTCGGCAAAAAATGATTTTAATCACACTATAAATAAATTAATGGGGGCTATTAGTTGAGAATATTATCTACTCAAAACGACTAATTACACGAATTCTGCCAATTAGTGCGACCAATTAACTATATTCGTATTTTTTTTACATTTTCAATTAAAGGTTAGTTTTTATTTGTTCCTTTTTTTTTTAATTTCATCAAACTATTTTAATAAATACATAAAATGGCCATTAATTAAAAGGAAATTTTAATATTATCAACCCACTTTCAGAAAAGGAATAGATACATTTTTTTTTTTGTATAAATTAAAGGCTTAAACCACTTGCGTCATTATCGCCTAAAAGAAAACAAATATTCTATAATATAAAATATTTAACCACAAAAAGATGTTTAAACGAACGGTATTTTACGTAGATCGCCTCACATTCTCCTAAATTTGAATTATTGGTATATCAACAAATATTTTTAAAAGAACCATTTCTTTTTATTTATTTATTTTCATGCATATTGCTATAATCCCTTAAGTCTGAAATAGATTGTTTTCATTTTATGCTCATGTGTCAGGTGACTTTAAGAGGAAGTGACCTCTCCTCTATACTTTCACAATATCTTAGGATGGATTACCTGGCAAAATTAGAAATTTTAAACGATCTTCTCTTCAACATTCAGAGTCACTACACTAAAGTGACGAATGTCGGTAGAAACATTTAGAAAACGCAATCAAACAAATTTTTCATTATTTTTTTTCTTCTGGAGGAAGAAAATGAATAATATTGTTAATTCACAAATATTATACCTCATATTTGATTTTTAATCATATTCACATTAAAATTAAATGATTAAAATGCCTGAAGAAAACTTAAAATAAACTATATTAATACAAAAAAAAAAGTTTTTAATTTATTGATTCAACAAACGAATTAATATTGTTATATCAGGGTTGTTATAAATATTGTTTTAAAAAATCGATTTTTTTTACCAGTCCTGGTCTTGGTCTTGCAACAGTTAGGCGGCCTTAGTCTTGGTCTTGCAAAGTGCAAGACCAAGACCGATTTTTGGCAACATTAGGAGAGCGGGGAGGGAGGGGAAATACATGCACTATTGACCATGGGAAGAGGATGGGCACTCTGATCTGAAATGCCTACATTTTTATTGATTTCATTAACTAATTCATTTTATTTTATTTTTTTAACATGTCCCTTTGTGAAATATGTTGTGAGTTTCATTATTATGCGTAATATTTTCGCCATATCTCATAATTTCAGAGAATTTCCATCTATTCAATACATCCAAATCTCTTTATTTTATTTTTTTTCTTCATTCGGGATGACATTTCTTATTTTTTTTTTTTTTCTTTTTTTGGCTTTAAGACTTGTAAAAGCAAGTCCTATTTTGCCAGTAAAATATTTGAATTGTCATAGTAAGATGAAATTACACTGGATATATATTAATTATTTATAGTTAGATGATCGCTGAATGTAACCTATATGGAACTTGGATATTACATATTATATTATTAGATATTGTGGAACCTAGAAAGACTAATAGTTAAAAACTGAGGTGAATTAGAATTAGAATTAAATGAGAATAAGAGGCGACTTTTATTATATGACTGCTTTTATGTCATTCAAAAACTTTATCAAGTTACGGGCGTTATCTTTATTCATCGAACGAAGAAATCCGGATTATTCTCCATTATCCGCAGTTTGCGATCCTAAACCTCGCTTCTCGAATCTTTTGCACTTGAAGGCAATGTGTCTTGGATCCTCCAGGCATTGGCATGTTTGACAGTGGCCACTCTTAGCTACACCCATTAGGTGTAGATATTTATTAGTTCTACCGTGATTTTACCTAAACTAAAGCTGGAGCGGTCGAGATGAGATTTAAGAGTCGCAAACCATGGAACCAGTGCTATCTTCTGCTGAACTGCATGATGGTCCTTACCCTTCGAGGAACATTCCCAGTCGTAGAAATGCTGCCGGTCTTTCATTATTTCCTTCCTCATTACTCTTATCAAATCCAGTAAAGGAACCTTAGCATTTATTCGATGTAGTTGGTTTTGATTTGCCGTTTTGCCTGCCAATTCATTTCCTGATATTCCTACGTGTCTTTTTTGATATTTCTTGAAAATCGAAGTGACCAAGTTTAAAAAAAAAAATTGTTTGCTGGTAAATTTGTTATATTTCTACTCTAAATAAAACATCATAAAGTGTGTTGTAAACAGAGTGAGGTGTAGTGACCCCATTGCGGATGGGCTGTATGTAGCCGGTATCGACCGTTGCGGACCTTGAACCCTGGACTAGCCGGATCCTGGGAGTACCTGCCGGGAGGTAGCGGGGAGGTGGGGATGGCGGGAGGCCATTTTGGCGAGGAGGGGGGCGTGGTCGGTACCACGTGACCCGATGGGCGGGGCCCCGACTATAGCCGAGCGGGGCCGAGGACGCGGCAGGGGTGGGTTTTTTCACTCCTAGTGCGACCGCTATGACGTGATGTTACCCTATCAGACGGTTCCGATGGACTATACGGGCGCTCTGGGGCGGCCCGCGACAACCGCTGCTGCCGCCGCCGCTGCCGCCTTCACACACTCCTGGTTTGTACCGGCGGAACTCTGTGTACCCTTCAAACACAATTCAGGCCTACTAGAGCCAGGGCATGTCTTACTTTTTACTATATATATATATATATTTTTACTATATTAACCATATGTTTTTTGATTATTGATTGTGGCAGTTCGTTCATGTTTTGTTTTTCAATTTCTGTTTATCACTGTCATTATCCAGTTCAATTCATCCAAGAACTCATTTCAAGACCCAATCCAATTTTTTTTTATTTTTTTTTGTCATTTTATTATTGTTTACATATTGACCGAATATTTTCCACATAATCCAAATAGACATAATTTACTATGTAAATTGCGAATTGAAAAAAAAAAAAAAATCATGTTACTATTTAATATATTTTATGATCAGATATAAAAACATTTCATTCATGATAATTCCGGTATTGTTAAAAACTTACTCCAACTAATTAATTTCATCTTTGCCACAACATCCGGGCTCTAGTTCTTATATCTTGCATGCTTTATTAATATTATATTTTTTTTATCCATACTTTCAGCATCTCAATTGGTTATTTGTTGCATGCATTTGAAATTTTTAATTTTAATTTTTGACATAATTTTGTAGGGGCAATAAAGAATAATAAGTGGGGAAATATAAATTTATGATAAGATAATTAATAATATTAAAATTAAATTCAAAGCCTTTAAACCATATAGATTTTCATTAAGAGTTCCAAAAATCCTCTTTTAGACAGTTCTTTGAAGATTAGTGAGATTAAGAAATTCGATTAAGTAGGTATAATTTCCGTCACGATATTTGAACTATGTAATTTTATTTTCTATAATGGAATAATTAAGGAGTACCATCATTGCGCAGTGTCTTGTCAGGTCTATGATTCATGATTGTTCATATTTACTAGTTGTATTTATTTATTAGCGTTGTAAATTTCAATAGATAAAAATAAATTAATCCTAATAATACTAAAGAATTTATCAATATCAGTTGGATGTATAAATTCGAGCCTTATCTTAGAACTCAACACCCTTAACTTGTCTACGGCTGAGAAACATTCACCCTTTCTCATCCACCATTCAAGTCATTAAATATTAAAGTTACGTGCATTTTCATATTTATTCTTCTCGCGAATTGTTCTTACATGTTAATAAGAAGTTTCCTTTGATGTGTCAGTTCGGAATGTTACTTTTCTTTTGGTATAAATTTAATTTTTTTTTTTTTAAATGAGATTATTGAATAACTATGAAAAAAAAATGTTTTAATAAATTAATAATTATCATGCAAAGAATATATTATAAGGAAACGAAAAAATATTACTATTTTAAATTTTAGTTCTGAATACCTGTTTGTTTTGAATTCATTATAAATTACAAACTGTCCTTGAATTTATTTTTCAAAATTGACAGGGAGGTCACCACAATGTTCTGTTTAAACAAGTATTTAAATAGAGATTCATTGGCAAGTCACTATTTAAAAAAGAACACACTCGTATATAACCTTTTGATAAAAAGTAACTGTTATCTGGTATTTTTATCTGAACTAAAATAAATTTATGTTATTTTGCAACGCACCTAATCTAAACGAATTTTGTTGGTTATAAGCAAAAAGATTTTTAAAAAAAGGCAATGTTGTTTCTATATCGCGAAGAATATCGCTAATGACTTTTCTAAATATACTCGATTCCATAATCGTCAAATCGGAAACTAAAAATCTTGAAAACATCAGTTGGAATAATATGACAGATTTATTAAAAACTGCTAAATTGAATTACAGATTAGAATAATATAATATTTACGCTATCGTTTAACTTTGAAATTTTATCTTCATAAACTATCACACATCTTCTGATCTTTTAATTCAGTGATAATCTTCTATATTCAAGCGAAAAATATTTCAATCAGGTCTATAAAATAGAACATTCTAACAGAATTCCTTATAATATTGTTAGATTATTAATTTCTTCATGTGAATATCTTTTGTGGTTATATTTATTAATTACATAATTATAATTGCATATTTCAATGATTAACATTTTCTTGACAAAAATAAAAGCATGATAAACTGGATGTACGTCGAATAGTAGACATAGAAATAATATTTTCCTATTAAATAAATTGTGAGAACGAATTGCAGAAATAATTAGCTCGCTATCAGTGCATTTTAACATTTTTCAAATGAAAACTTACTGAAATATTGAAATTCTTATGTCTTTAATATGTGGGATATTTAAGTCTCTTGAAATAGAATGTTTCTGTATTTTTACTATAAAACATTCTATAAAGCTACCCAGTGCTCAAAATGTGAATAAATATAGCAAAGACATTAATTATAAATATATCGTATTCTTTAATAAATAAATAAATATTCAAATGGCTTTTTAATATGGTTTTAAAAAAAATAATAAATATAACGTGGAGTATTCGTTATTAACATGCTTAGAAAATTGTAATAAATAATTATTAAGACATTGTCAATTGATGAAGAAAAAAATCAGAGAAAAAAATTAGGAAAAGAAGCTTTATTTGCTTAAATTAATTCAATTCCTTATTTATATTCTTATTATATTATATTCTTTATTGTCCTCGTGACATAATATTATATGTCTAAATAAATAAATAAATTTATATTTTAAGCCCTTGTTATTTGCCATATAATAAAAAAAAAGCGAAAAATTCTATTCATTATGGATTAAAATTAAAATTTCAAATTTTGATATTTTATCTTGTTTTAATAAATCACTGGTAGAAAAATCAGAAAACTTATAGAGAATATTAACGTTTGCAAAAAATTGTTTATCTCGTGTTAAAATGTTATCATGGACGAAATAAATCGTGAGCATAGAAGGAGGCTTTTATTCAAGAAAATAACATCTGAATATGTTATTACGATCGAATCTTGAAAAATTACCTGTTAAGGGTGTTTCAACAAATATACAGTAGTTTTAATATCACATATAAAAATATCCATTTCTTATTCATAAAAAATTTTTTGAAAATATTTACATATAATAAAAAGTTTTTTAAAAATGAAATTTTCATAGAGAGAACTACAACAATAATATCGCATGCTAAACTGTGTTGAGTTGCTAACTCAAAAAGCACACTCATCAGTCCAAGAGATATTATTTAAAACTATAAGAAAATATTTAGTTGAAATCATTTGATCATACTAAATATGTTAAAATACCAGTGTACAGAAACGAACAAGCAAAGGCAAAGTTTAGATATGATAGTTCTATGTTGCAAGAAAAATAAAATAATATATAGTACCCATATTATTGTAATAAAATAGCACCTAATTGATCAAATACAATTTAAAGTAAATGTACAGGTAATAGACACTTTAAGAAAATTTTTCACCATTAATAATAATAATTATCTTTTATTTATTCTGGGACGAATCCCTTTAGAATAATTAACAAGGACAGAAATGTGGGCTTTGGAGCCTCAGATATATATAAATATATTTACAAAGTTAACTAATAGACATAATAGAAAAAAAAAGTTATCCTCTAAATTAAATCGATTACGAAGAAAAAAATAATAAATGAAAGAACAATAAAATGAAAATAATTGGAAATAAACTAATAATATATATAAATATTTACAGAAGTTTCTTTATACAATTTTAGAGGGACTGGATGGAAAGGAAGTGATTGAATAGGCGGGATTTAAAAGTAGTGAGAGTATTATTAGTATTATTATTAGAGACATTAATGTGAATCACAATTCAAGTTCTGACGGTGGATTTGACAAAACCAAAAGATTTTTACCTCCTTGGTAGCTGTTGTATCCCATAATTAACGAAAAAAGGTTCTTTTTAAAAATACCAATTTTCAGTTTTCTCAATAATTCTACTTACCTTGAAAGTTATATGTTACCTACTTCTGTATGCATATAAACTTAATATGCTAAAGTTAGATCTATTTATAAATTTCTATTTTTGTTTTTTATGGTCAGTAAAAAATTATTGATTCTGTCAGTTAAATTATGATATTTCAATAGTTATGAATATACTATATATGTATAGCTGTGTATGAGGCACTAAAGAACCCAAGATTTAATTTTGGTGGGGGCTTCAGCCCGAGATATTTTATTTTTGTGTGTATATATATTATAATAATTACTTCGGAAAAAGAAAGACACTAACCAACTATATGAAATGGTGTTTAACTGATTCTTTAAATCTAATTAGACGAAAAATAATACTTTTAGAGATAATTTTTTTCATAAACATGGTTATATTTTACCATTTTGGGAGGAACTTCAGCTCGAAAGAACCCCTCCCCTCCGATAGATTCGCCTGTGCTATCAAGATATTAAATAGAAGAATTTCTAGTGATAGAAGCCATTGTCCCTAACGACCTTCCTGCGATTTGATTTTTTGTTTTGTTCCGCACTATTGGAGGAGGTGCTTGCCCTGAAAGTGAGAGGCGAGCGGGATGATTTTCAAGTCTAATTACCGACAGCAAGAAGTGACATTATATTATTTAATTAGGGGATAAACCAATTAATTACTTGAATAGTTAATTAACGAGAGAATTTACAAACATGAACCTTAAAAAATACAGGAAGAAGTCATGTTATAGGATGGATTTGAATATCATAAATTTATAATGTTTTGTTTAATTAATTTCTTATTATATACTATATTATTTTTATTTTTTTTATCTTAAAATTATAAAACATCGCGAAATTAATTTTTCTTTTTTTAACTACATGATTTTTTTTTTTTAATGGAAAGTATATTTTATAGTTGAAGTATGAATAGTTAAAACACATTTTCATAATGTTTTCTTGATACAAATCATTAATTAGCTATGTGAAGTTTAAATACCAATATTCTACTTTTTATACAAATTAGTAATAATTATTCTTGATAATGAAATCTCATTTCTGAATATGAAACAACCCTTTAACTAACTAGCCAAGTTCAACAAAAAAAAGTAGTATTCTATATTTATGAAAAAATATGAACCATACATGTTTTATTAAAGCGTCATTTTTTAGATTAGATTAGATAAAAAAATATATATTATAATTTTCATGAAATAATTTAAATCAGATTTATTTGAAATAAAATTTCACGGAGTTAAACGATTGTTACATTTAACATGAGACAATAATTGATGCTCACCTACATTACAAGCCTGCATGATTGGCACATGATGGTGGTAATGAGTTTCGAGGCATATAAATTTATCTATGAACAGCTTGCACATATCTAATTTGCAGTTTAAAATAATTTCGCTGTTGACAATCGAAATGATCTGTAAATCCGTTTTAACTTTTATCATTAATTATTGGTTTTATTTGCGTTAACACCATTTAGTAGAAAGAGGCCTTTTTCGGTCTCGATAAATAATAATTTTATTTCAAATTTATCAAAATTTTTGCCTCTTCAGGCATCTTCAGGGATAATCTGATTTTACGTGTAATTCAAAATTTTCATTCGCTTTTTAGCAGTGCACCCACATGCGCACTTAGTCAAAGAACACAACCGAATCTGGATTAATTCGAAATAAAATAAATATTTATCGAGACCGAAAAACGCCTTTTTCTACTAATTATAGTGTCTTTCCCAAGATCATCATTATGTTAACACCATTTTTAAATTTTACTATAGTACAATACTTAATATTTATTCAGTTCCTATATAAATGTCATTTTTATTTTTAGAGATGGGATATAACAATCTTTGAAAACATTTAACAGTTTCGTAAGAGATTATTCGATTTTCTTTATGCCATATACTTTAATCAGACACAATCTAAATAGAGCTTTTTAAAGAAAAGAAAGATATTAATTAATTTTTATACTGGTCAAAGGTTAATATGAATATGATTTATATAAAATTCAGATCCAGTATTTAGTTCTGAAATTATTTAATAAGACATGCATTATTTTATGTTAGTACAAAAGTAAGTGCATAGCATACAATACTAGATGATAGTTCTGCATGCAATGTGAACTATCATTTTATCCTAATTTATTAATTGTATTGCATTGCATTACGCTGGGCGTATCATCAATAGTGTTGCCCAAATGCGAGACCAAAATGAGTCTTGGTCTTGCGCACTCAGTCTTAGTCTTGGTCTTGGTCTTGCGCAAGAGTTTCGCAACATTCTTGCAGTTACCAATTAGCTTATTACTATAGAGACATTACAGTATTTTTTTAGATAGAAGAAATCTAACTAAGACCGAATGGAAAAAATTAGAAGAGTTAAATGTAAAAGGATGTAGGTTATATCAATTCTTTACATATAGTAACTAAAAATATCAATTATTAGTAACTATTTTGTCTTAATTTTTATTTTAAAAATCGTCTTGATGTTGGTCTTGCAACAGTTAGGCGGTCTTGGTCTTGCACTTTGCAACATCAAGACCAATTTTGGGCAATACTGATTATCAATACTGGAAAGGTTTTTAAGTAAATTAATAATTTTCCCAAACATTAGCACTTCCGCCAACATGAAGAAGTAGCGAATCGTTGAACAATTGAACACAACTTTCAAACTAATTTTTATAAAATTCTTAAAATATATATTAATTATTAAAATAATTTTACCAATATAAATAGGATAAATAATGTATGTCAATAGTTATTTGGTTACATTGAAATAGACTTATGGAGTATACAGGGTTTTATTGCCTATCGTCGATACATTTCTAATTATTAATAATAGGTAACATTCATTTTCTAATTTTTTGCTATTAAATATTAACAACTAAACTGATTAAAAAAAAAGAAAAATACGCGAATTTACTTATAGATTAACAAAACGTAATGATTATGTTTTTTTATCGTTTTATTCTTTTAACGATAAATAACAAAACGCATTTAATATTATGGTGCATTTATTGCAAAAAGCTATTAAGTGACAAAATCAAATCACTAAATACTTTAATATTTTTTCCTCTGAAAAATCAGAACATTGCGCACTTAGAGTAGTATTAATATTAGGTCAAAAACATATTTAAAAGTTTAGCTCGATCAAAAATGCACTACTGACTTTTTGCAAAATAAATCGTATTTTTATTTATTTTTTAATTTAATATAAAAAATTGGATAAAAATCAAAGGAATCACTTGTATTATATTGTACTAAAATGAAATCTAAGTAATTGGACACATCAAAAAAGATTCTTTTGTAGACATATCTCATCTAGAGAATATGCTGTCCTAATATTCTAAAATATGTCATGGAAATTTATAAAAGTATTTTTAAATACAGCTAAATTAATAAGATTTGCTGACTATCAAATAAATATGCGCAAACTCCTAAAATCAGCACTGAGCTCATCAATGGGTTTGCACAACCTTAATCAAACTTGCACTTTGCACTTATCAGAAAGTGACGCATTACTGGATTGATTCCTAAATTATTAACTTCCTTTTGGCGTTGTTTTGCATTAACCATTAATCGACGTACGTATTAATCCAAATATTTTTAATTTCTAAAGTGCATTACATCCTATATTAAATATTTTGCGAAAATGAGATAAAATAATTATTTAATTTTACAATCATAAAAAGGAAATGCTTTGTTTTGGACAAGGAGGGAGAGGAGAAGAACGATGAGCACTTGTGGTATCGAGCAGCAGCAGGCTGTGACGGTGGATTAAGAGCAAAAACTCTGTTCAGGCGACCGTAACGCGACATCATTTCGGTCTTAGCGTGTGGGTCCCTACACCGTACCCTCAAGTCCAGTCATTTACTTCATTTTTTACCGTTTCCACTTTAATAGAGTACGGCCATTCTACGAGAAAAACTACAATAACAACGATAACATTGGTTAAAAGAAACTAAAAATTGTAAAACTTTCTTTAAGGTGAATTTTAGACTTCTTAACATTTTTTTTACTCCATATATGTGTAACGTGAGACGTGCTATCTGTATTTGGTTAATCTACAATAAGCTGATAACGTTAGATGTACCCGTTAATTTTTTATGTACATTAATGTCATTTTATGGTTTTTTATTTTCAGCGCAGATAACATTGATTTTATAGGAATTTAAACGAAATAACTAGCTTAACGTACCTCAATTTTTACCGAATTTGAGATAGGCATACCATTTTATTAAAAAACAATTCCTTCTGAATAGTTGGCAATACTTAATTACTGCAACTATCCTTAAAGAAAATCAATATAAATAGAAATTGTATATATTTTTTTCTTATGGAATATTTACAAAGTTCAGATGTCTCATATTACTTTTACCTCGAAGACGAGTGCGTGTTTTTTTTTTATTATTTTAAAAAAGTAATTCATACCTAAATATCCAAAATGAACAAATGTATCATTTGAGACGAGCTTGAGAAAACACAGTCCTTTTAAAAATGGATGATAGAAAATTTACAATGGTTTATTATTCCAAAACAATTATACATCTAAAGTAAGATTAACTTCCTATGAACAAAGAAAAATAAATAAAAGGTGATTCCTGTTATTGGCTTAAAAATTTTGTTTAAAAACTATTTAATACTACAAAAAATATCATTACTTCAGTATGACTTTCGAAAATTCAAAACCAAAACAAAAGATATAACTTTTGCAGTAGGACATATAAAAAATATATAGAGACCATATATTTGCTCCACACTGTCCGATTTTTACATTTTTTTTTTATGAAATTTCATAAACTTTTATATTATATCAACCATATACAATATCAACAAAACAGTGTATACCTTTTGAGATAATCGGAAATATAATTTTTCCATCCCTCGTAACTTCTTTTCGTTGAAGTGTGTTGTATAAATATATTCAAAGGGCATGAAGAAGAAGACTCTAACCATGTTGCATTGAAATCGGTAAATTCGTTTAGCACATTCGATCTACAGTCTATAACAACACGGGTTTTCGGCCGCCACATTGAAAGGAATAGGCGGATAGTAATGTCGATGAAGGGAGATCGTCCTCAGGTGATCTCTGACATTAAATCCAAATTTGAAAAAAATCGGTCCAGTAGTCTCGGAGAAAATGCATGGACGGCCAAAAAAAATTTAATTCGATTTTCGAATTCTACGTATCCTGAAACGTAAGACTCCAAATTCTGAGGGAGGGTTAAGTTTATTTAATTTTTCTGCCGATTACAATGGTTCATTATTGAAAATAACAAAACAAAAGAGTAGACAAGGTGTTCGTTACTTTCAGAGATATGTACTCATGTTTTGGTAGGCTGCTTTGTATTAAAATTATTTTCTCTCACTCATAATACGTCGCATTTACTTATTTCTATATTATGTTGTCATTTGTTCATTGAACAATATACTAAGCGAACTTTCTCGCACGGGTCAAATAGTTATTTTTACTCTTCCTCGTAGGATGGTTTTAGTATTTATACTAGATACTATACTATAGTAGAGATAAGGCATCGATTAGCGATGTGAGGATCAAAGGGATGATAAAAAGAGGTAAGGTAGGTACGGTGATTGGGGCTGATTGCCTCGGGAGCTGGTGTCAGCACTCCCGCCCCCTAACTGCCTCCTCCTTATTGGCCTCCTCTGGGGGCGGTTAATTGTACCTCGCTCGTCGGCCAATCCAATCCGCTGGAATTCAACGAAATTGACCGTGGAGGAGATATATATTTTTCAATGTGACTTCCAGCGGTTACAGTTTCCATTTACAAGAGTTCAATTTCACACAGTGGTGACCCAGAGAATAACATATTGTCAACTTTAGAGAGGATAAGAGCGTCAAAGAAAATAAAAGAGAAAAACTGCACTGCCTTACCTACCGGTGTAGCAACATGACAAAATTTACGATGAATAAAAAAGTGAAACGGAGAAGAAGTGAAACGTCCGAAAACGATGAACATTCTGATGATTTTACTCCTGAAAAGCTAAATATTAATATTGAAGTAAATACAAAGTGCAAGTGAATAGATTAAAGTGGCTAGAACCCCTTTTACAGATGGAACCTAGCAGAAATGTTAGATATACCACACCAAAGTAGAAGGAAAACGAGGAAGGGACGAACTACATGGGAACATAGAGTAAAGAGAAATTTCCAGAGAAGGGGACTTCAATAAACCAGAAGAGAGCTAGTAGAAGACGTACAGAGCTGGTGAGGACTCTATAGACTTCCTCCTCACACTGCATAGGCGGTTCAAGAAGGACGAATATGATAATGATGACTAAGTCCTTTGTTTCTCAGATAGCAGCAAATAACTAAACGATATCTTTGAATTTTAGTAACTTTTTCTATAATAGAGCTTTTGTAAAATAACATAATAATGACAAGGCTTATAGTGACCGAAAACTTTAGGCCGATATCATTTTCAGTCTTTGGCTACATTTCCTCCATTCAACCCCAACTAAGTCACAATCGCCAAGGTTCGATCTAACACAATCCTAACCATGGTTGTAATCGGTGAGGAGGGAAAGAATCGGCAGAGTTTAGAGGGTGACAAATATCGAGAATTATTTGTTTGTTTTTTGTAACTTTTCGGTTGTTTCTACCTTAATTCTGTGAGTGGCACGTTAAAATAATCTGGGGATGAAATTTACTTCAAAATATTTTTTTTTTAATTTTTGTGACGAAAACTAGGCTTTCCTCTCTAATAAAAAATCCAAGGTTCAAACCTCATTCTTCCATCTAGCTGACTATTGGGATGTTCACTCGCTGATATAGGTTTTTTTTCTATTAGTCCTTTACAAATGTCAGGCGTCGAGAATCTTCCAACTCGTACTTCTTTGGACCTAATATCACACACAATTATTCATTTTCAAAAATCTTAAAAGGTTGTCTTTCCAATAACGTATGTTCTTCATATCTCTTTCCCTAAAACCATTGACCGTTTTGGTACTGAGCACGTTATTGGCTGTTTTTTTTTTTTCATCATTTTAAAGACAAATTGTCAGTAAGCTGGTTATGTAAATATGTATAGTAAAAACATACCTAAGGATGGGCGCTGAATACATTACATGAGATGGAGATAGAAGGATAGACTTTGGGCAGCTGTGGAGATGACGACTACCTGTTAGAAGGATCGATCGGTCACCGAATACATAAATATGTAGCTGAGGAGGGTCACGGCTGTGTAGTCGGGTACGTGCTAGCCCTGGGCCACACGTAGCATCTCTCGTCATTAAAACAGCTCTAGGTCCCCTGCTCTCTTTACCCCAACTGTCTACTCACGGTTTAGGGCTTATGTGTCTATATAATGGCTGCCTTCGAGCACAGATTTTAATCGAATTAATGTACTAATTAGTTACTAATTTAAATTTCCTGGTTAGTTCATGTTGGGTTTGATGTATAGCAAGGGTCTCCAAACATTTTGGTCCGCGGGTCGCAATGAGACCTCCAACAAACGACTAATGCAATAAATGTTGTAGTAAGCTCGTGTTCGAGTGATTTATTTATTTTATATTTTTAAAATTTCTATAAAGTTTTACCATGCAATCAAAAAACTTTCGCTGGCTGGATTGGAGGTGCTTGTAGAGTACTCTAGAAAGCATTCAAATGATAATATCAATATATATATAATTATTTTTTCCACTCCACATCACTTATTTCATTACTCTTCCACGTTATGGAGTGTAAAACTATCTGATAGTACTGCAAGCCGCTCTGCTTTCAGACTCCTACTGGATCCGAAGGAATGTTTCTGGGACTATCATCCTGACAAAAACGCTGGCTTTCTTCCTTGGAAGATCTTTTGCTGTCCTTTCTCTTGGGAGGTCCATTGGAATAGTGTCTTCTAGACTAGTGTCCACTATCCAATTTTACATATTCTTTAATGCGTTTTTTTTTTTAATACTTAAAATATTTTTGGATCTGTGCCGAAGTAATTATGTACCTGCACTATAAGTTTCCATCTGAATCAGTCTTCTCCACATCTACCTATTTTGGAATATCGCTTGCAAGTTCGCTGTGTGCAGCTCAGTGGTATCCGAGTTTATTCTATCCATCCATCTGTTTTTTAGCCTTACACAAGATATATTGCTAACTATTCATTATTTTGGCTTCTGATGGATTGCATCAAGTTACATGACCCACCTTTAACCTCCTTGTCTTATATAAAATAACATATTGATTTACCAGTTTCTCAAAAATTAAATTAAAACATTACTGTTGTTAGTTATGTTTTATAAATATGTACTTTTTTATCTTCAGAGAATGAACTAAACAATTATGAATATTTATACCATCGTGTTTTAGAAATAACTACGGTTTTCCATTCTTGTTTTCATTAGCTTACTCATAACCATTTTTTTTTTCACTGTAAAAAATTGCTCGTTAGACATCATATTTCCGATAAACACACCGAACATAAAGTGTGGTTTTAAGGAGTATTTACGCCATTAATACATCCTGCGGATTTTCACTTATTATTATGTATTTAGTCCGGTTCTTATCTGAACTAGGAGGCAGATAATGGAGGCTCCTGTATTCTAATGAAGTTAAGTGTATCAATGGGCCCCGGTTGACAGACGCAGACAATGAAGGTGATTGGCCGATTGTCTTAGTGAACAATACTCAACCGCAGCTAATAGCCTTTCTCCTCCTCATTTGCATTGTCTCCAAATCACCATCATTAACCGTATTCCCCAAACTGTTAGCTATTACCAAGACCAGTAGTGATCCATTGTGCTGCTTCTGGCTCTCAGTGTCTTCCATGAGCCTATGTCTGTCTTCTTTCCAAACATTGTTCCTCTCTTTGGACGCTTTTGGAAACTACTCTTAGTTGTTGGGTAACTACCGTAGATTAGAAAGAAAATACCTTTTAGAAAGAAAATTAGTTAACTTTTAAAGGTAATGGAAACGACATGATTTTTTAAAACGCACCAAAATAATAAAAATTACAAGGCACCAATTTACTAACTTCTATATCCGAGTTTGAGTCCGAAAATGGCAGATGATTTATTAATTTTGTCATGTCACCCGAGGATAGACTTCACCTTGACTAGAGGGTGCATCCAACATCTAAAAACTGGATAAACTATATTGGATTGGTTGATTATCCAGTCAGTTGAATTGTGCAATATTCACATTATCTTTTAAAATATTCCTTGATCAAAAATATTTGCGAAATATACTTCGTTATCAAGAAATGAACACAAAAAGACCAGTACATGATTTTTATTTATTTTTTTAAATAATGAAAACCCTGTTTTATATAAAGTATGTTTATTTATCGCGACGTAGACCAGGCAAGAACCATGCGTTTATTATTTATTTTTTCTCACATCTTCTTCATCTTCTCCTTATTTCCTTTCTTTGCTCCTCTGTGATCCTTTCTACCTCCCTTTTTCTCTCCAGCACAAGAATCTTCTTGAGTTCTAAACTTGGCCTTGTTAGTCCTATTCTCTGATCCCTAAGCATTTGATTTCTGCTTTAATTTGCTCAGGATATCGAGAAAAAAAATCAGTTAGTTTAATCTACCCTTTTCCTGTGACCATAAACTTTCTACTTTTTTTTGTTCATCGATGTCTCTAAGTCTTCAATGTCTTCGTATAGCTCCTTGTTCTTTTTTTGCCAGTACACTTCTCCCATTTTCCTTGGCCTATGGATACACCTCAGTATCATTCTATCTCTCTGTGCTGGTAAAACGTATTATTTCTGTTCCATACATTATGACCGGTATAACTACGAATAATTGTATCTTTTCTACGTTGTATCTTTCTTCTAAGTACTATAACGCACTAATATTTTTGTCATTGTTAACATCATTTTTCCATTATCTCTATTCTAAGGTTAAGCTTGTGAAATAAAGGGACTCGATTCTTTGAACTCTTGCATTAGCGAGCAGTGCTGGAGGACCTTAGATCCTGGTGTTATAGGATGTATGATCGACAGGACGGTTTAACGAGAAGGCGTTAGTAAGTGGAGGGAGGTAAAGGTACCTTTATTTACATTCAAGAGCACTGAGGGGTACTTGAGGGTCGAGTAATAGCCGCTGGGCCCTTTGCATGTCAGTGGGGGCGACCCTCCCCTCTTCATTCAGTCCCCATCTCTTAAGGTCATTAGGTACAACCTAGTAACCTTATTTTGCATAATGTCGTGTATATATATATATATATATATATATATATTCAAGATTGCGGAGGCCATATTAAAACTTTGTCAGCTTTAATATTCTCGAGTCTAGCGACGTTAGTTCGAATCCGGCCTGGGCAATTTAAAATTTATTTCGTGGCGGACCCACTGAATAAATCTCGACGTTCCCACTCTGATTAGCGTAGGTCATGTTGCACCTCTAGAACAATCCTCCCATCTGGCGGAAATGGCAAGGGAAATAATAAAGAATATTATACTAATTACTCATCTTCAATTAAGCACATAAACAAAAACAATACTGAAAACATATTAATTTATTACTATTATCCATGAATTATTAGAAATCATCATAAATATATTGTATGTACACGTCTTCAAATTATCAAAAATAACCAAACCTATAAAACAAAAAATATCCAATGAGAAGGAGTTGCTCAGGCGGCGCGGTAAAATAAATACTAAATTTCTAAAAAATAGTATTTTTAATTGTTTCGCCCACGTTTCGAACCCCCTTGCGGGTCTTCATCAGGGCGTGGCATCAGACACTGCAGGAAACAGTTGATAGATTGGCACTTGAAACAGATCTAGTCCACTAGACCTGTTTCAACTACAACATGAGTCGAAACAATCAAAAATACTATTTTTTTTAAAGTTAGTATTTATTTGACCGCACACCACGACCAACTCCTTCACATATTATATCACGGTCAACCATTTCTACATCATTAAAAAGTATCCGAGATAAAAAGTATTATTTCAAATCAGTTTTCTCATAAAATTAGAAAGCAGCCAGTAATTAAGATTGAAAAATTGTTTTTTTTTTTTTTTTTTTTTTGTATAGGTCCTAACATTTAAAACATAATAAGCAATACAAAACAAATTAACTTTAAAAAAAATTAAACTCTTGCAATTGCAAAGTCTTATTTGTTCAATAGCTTAGAAAAGATCCTTAGACCATTGCAATCCATGTTTGAGGAGGATTTTGTTGATTTGTGCTGGAGAAAATAAGACTAAGATAAATAAGATTATCTTGGTTATTATTGATAATTAAGATCACTGATGAACGGAAATCTATCTGACCATTCCTGAACTCATTGATATAACAGAGAACATGTTCCTGAGCTCAGCGCTGAGATCATTTATGAGTATCGGAAATTTATCACTGAATCAGATTCTTGTGAATGATATTTGAGTATTTTGTAGTTTCTACATTTTAAATCCAAAGGTGTTAATGGTTTATCACATATCCAACGTTTATTATAAACAGAAAGATGGGAGGTTATTAACCACCTATTATTATACACAGCTTCAACCAAGCTTATTAGATTACCATGTTCACGAACACTGAAATAAATAGAAGCGTTATTGTACGACTGTCTATAATCTCGTTCCATCTTGTCTTAACTATATTAAAAGGTAAAAATAGTTAAATGAACCGTTTATATATTCCACTTTGATCATGAAAGATGCATACAAAAGAGGAAAAAGGGAGGTAAAAAAATTGGGCAAAGTCACTTTGACAGAACCATTCCAAATTTTCCGTACCATTAGTGGAACTAATGAGATGCAGAGTTTTGTGAGATGGGGCGACGAGGCCTATAATCTGAGCCCCTTGTTCGCAAACAGGGCCTCCTCCTAGACAATGCCCGAATCAGCACAGGAAGCTCGGCTAAACTACAGGTCTCCCGTGGGGGCGCACACGCTCCATTTGACAAATTCAAAATAGAAAAATAAGGGCAATTTTCCTAGGGGATTTGCGGCGGTGCAGGGACAAATTCACCATATGTAATACGAGACGCAGGAGGGTCCGGTGGGCAGCGCCTTTGAGGGAAGGTTCTTTGAGAGGCGGGTGAGAAAACAGAATTAGCCGGCACTTGTCTGGCTCTGGGGGACGGCAAATTGGCACAAATTGGGGGGCGCCCCCCTGGGACCGGGCTATCCGCCGCCCCTCGCCGCCACCTACGTGAGCATTAGCCACCTCCTCTGTAAACATTTCTCTCTGTCTTCGCTAGCAAACAACTTCTCTTGATAGCGGTCAGCATCGCGGTCCTCGCCATTGTTCATATCTTCATTAAATTTGCTTTAATGAAAGTCCAAGCTATGCCTAGATAGGTAGGCGATCCCAAGAATAAGTGATGATGATTCATAAAATTACCACACTACATAGTTGTGTTGATTTTCGGTGAATTTTTTTTACAACTAAAATGAACACAAATGTAATGGTTTTTACGCATATGAAACAATTATAAAGCTTATTATAACAAACTGACACATTGCAATAGCAAACAGGAATTGGCCAATAGGATTGTTATTCAGAACCGAATCCATCACTCTCACCGGCATAACTCAAAAAATCAAATATTTTTATTGCTACAAGTGGAACTTGAATTAATGCTATTTTTATCATTTTGTATTTTTATGATTTTTTTTTTCGTATTTATCTCCGTAGTGTTGCCCAAAATTGGCCTTGGTCTTGCACTTTGCAAGACCAAGACTAAGGCCGCCTAACCGTTGCAAGACCAGGACTGGTAAAAAAAAATCGATTTTTTAAATAAAAATTAAGGCAAAATAGTTACTAATACTTAACAATCTTAGTTAGTATGTGTTGATAATTGTTGGAACCCATATACTTTTGCATTTAACTCCTCTAATTTTTCATTCAGGCTTGGTTAGGTTTCTCCTGTCTAAAAAATTACAGTAATATCTCTATAGCAATAAGCTAATAAGTAACTTCAAGACTGTTCCGAGACTCTTGTGCAAGACCAAGACCATATCCAAGACTGAGTTTGCAAGACCAAGACTTGTCTCGGTCTCGCAT